TTTGAGACGGAGTTTCGCTCTTGTTACCCAGGCTGGAGTGCAATGGCGCGATCTCGGCTCACCGCAACCTCCGCCTCCTGGGTTCAGGCAATTCTCCTGCCTCAGCCTCCTGAGTAGCTGGGATTACAGGCACGCACCACCATGCCCAGCTAATTTTTTGTAGTTTTAGTAGAGACGGGATTTCACCATGTTGACCAGGATGGTCTCGATCTCTTGACCTCGTGATCCACCCACCTCGGCCTCCCACAGTGCTGGGATTACAGGCTTGAGCCACCGCGCCCGGCCTTACTGTCATTTTCAAACAGGGAACGCCCTGTTTGCTACCAGGCTGTACTTAACCATGCTGTGCTACATGGATCCATGCGTTAGGATTTCACTGCATGAAAACATGCGCTCTTTTCCAGCTCCCGATGGTCACATGGGAGACAGTGGGCCAGGCAGGTACTGGCTGGTCATGTAGCCGAATAGGGGTTGTTTCTGTTTGCTTACTAGGTCACTTGACTTGCTTTATCACATACTTTTAAAAATGCAAGTTTGTTTTTAAATCAAAAACTCAGGACAAATAATGTTTATTTGTATTTATCAGAGCTTGCAAGTTATGTCACTGGTCTTCTGTGAAGTAGAAGACTTCACAGTTTTATGGTGTTATTTTGCTAAATAGAATAGTACTTTGAAATCAAATGAGGATTTTAAGACATTCTTATGTATTCTACAGATTGAAGAGGAAAAGAAAAGAACTGCCCGAACAGACTACTGGCTACAGCCTGTGAGTATTGAGTTGGAGTTTCTCAAGTTCTAAACGTACATTTGAGTGAATAAGTAACATTTTGTGTAAGTAACTAAACTTTTCAAACATGTACAATCTATACCAATAGAATATGAATTATAACTTACAATGACTTTTCTTCCTGTTAGATCTTTAATCACTGGTTGCATCCCTATTGGAGGTTACTTCATGTTTATAGACCAATAACATCCCTTAAGTTTAGTGCTCAATTTGTTTATGGACATCTTGAATTTAAGCCTGGAATTTTCAATTTTTGCTATAGGACAAAAGGTTGTGTTTTCAGAAATGACATCAAAAAGTAGAACTGTAAATGCTCAAGTGTTGGTTTTCAATTTACAACTTACTGGAACTAGAATGTCCATTTATTAATATGTGCATCGTAGAGAAAAGCAGGTTTTAATTTCACCAACTCAAGGGAGCCTTACATTTTATTGCTTTATTATTGCTTATCATTTTAAAATAATAATTTAGTTTTTAAACATTTAAAAATGTTTTAAAAACTATTTTTAAAACAATCTTTTAAATATTATTACGTATTAATGCTTGATTTTAGACTTATTGAGATATGACATTTTCATAAAACTTTCAGAGTGTCTTATTCTTTTTTTTGTTTTTAAATAGAGACAGGGACTTGTTTTATTGACCAGGCTGGTCTCAAACTCCTGGCCTCAAGTGATCCTCCCACCGCAGCTTCCAGAGTAGCTATGGCTACAAGCATGCACCACTAATGCCCTGCTAATTTTTGTGTTTTCTGTACAGACGAGGTTTCACTATGTTGCCCAGGCTGGTCAGTGATCCTCCTCCTCAGCTTCCCAAGGTGTGAGGATTATGGGCGTAAGCCACTGTGCCTAATTTTTAAACTCAGAAAGAAAATATTTTTAGCAGATCTACTGTGGGCAAGGGCCAGTAAGTACAATGATGTAATGAATTATCTTCCAATTACTAGAGTATGAACCCATGAGAGCCTTTGAGAAATTAGCCAAGAAAATAGTATGGCTGGATTGGAGAAGTTGTTTTGGCATTAATGGCTTCATTTAGAAAGTCTTAAAAGAGAGACTTCAGAATAAGATCATTCACGTTTTCCTTAAACATATCTTTCTACTATTAAATACCCTCTCCCCAAAGTCCTTACTAAAGCTTTGTTAATATGATTTTAAGCATGGCTTTATGAAGGATTTGTGACCATCTCTTTGATATATTCACTTGAAGTAGCAAATGTAGAATCACTGCAGTGAATATTGCATTGTTAGGCAATTTAATTTTCATTATTAGCTTTTAGACAGCTAATCCAAATCAGGAAAACAATGATAAAGAAGCAGACTTCAAATTCATTAATATGAAATAAGCCCAGATTACCCTCCCATTCGAGAATTAGATGCTTAGAAGAACAATACCTTTAGCTATAACTAATATGGAGGAATTTCATTTGTATCAAAATTCAAAGCAACCTAACGTGAAAGAGACGTTGTGCCAACTCTCCTGCATAAGCTCCAAGGCTCAGTGCCTTGCAGTTTCCAGTGAGTTTCTTGCAGTCTGAGTTTTGATCAGCAGTGAACACCTCAGTGCTTTTTCACTTCCTGGAATGGAGAGAAAGAAACTATCTATGAAAGACACCAAGTACTGGAGTTGATATATTCAGATAACAGTCCTAGATTTCCAGAAATCTTCAATGTAGAAATCAGACATTTTGTGCATATATATATATATATATATATGTATATATATATATTTTTTCCCTCTTGCTAACCACGTTGAACAGAAAGGGGAAGAAGGAATAAAAGATTGCTAAGGAAATGTTTGCCATCGTTGGGAAGGCAGAGAACTCCAGCATTTCTTCTTTGGCAAAGCAGTTACATTTTCCTTTGGTTTTTGGTGAACATAGTTTAAAAGGAAGAAGTAAATTATAAACAATAATTTCTGTCTTTCCTTTTATCTTTTTGTTGTTTTTTTATTTTCTAGGAAATTGTTGTGAAAATTATAACCAAAAAACTGGGAGAGAAATATCATAAGAAAAAGGGTATTGTAAAGGTAAGGACATGCAATTACAAATGGAATTTGTGAAAAAAGCTAGGGTCAGTGAGTGAAGCTATTTTGGTATTTCTTGAAAATCAAGTCTTAGTAGGGAAGTACTGTGTCTAAAATTCTTGATTATTCCATTAAATGGAAGCTGTATTCATGATTGTTGGAGAAATATTTCTTTTTCATCCATAGTTTATACTTAACGTTGGTCTGTTTTCTTACTAGGACAGATAGTATGTATGAAGTCCTGTCAACACCTCTTTAAAACCTCAGCATACGTGCCTTGCTTGTCAGTAAAATGTATTTTAATTTTTAATGATAGGCCATATATTAAAAGTAATGGCAAAAACAGCAATTAACTTTTACACCAGCCTAATAATTATACTCTCAGAGGTCTCAAGAGGACTTCTTGTGTTGTACCTGAGAGACTATCTTTTGAATACTCTGGGATTTAATTTATTTTTATTTTTATTTTTATTTTTGAGACAGGATCTGGCTCTGCTTGCTGCCCAGGCTGGAGTGCAGTGGCGGGATCTCAGGTCATTGCAACTGCTGCCTCCCGGGTTCAAGTGATTCTCCTGCCTCAGCCTCCCAAGTAGCTGGGATTACAGGCACCCGCCACCACACCCCACTAATTTTTGCATTTTTAGTACAGATGGGGTTTTACCAAGTTGGCCAGGCTGGTCTCGAACTCCTGACCTCAGGTGAACCACCCGCTGCAGCCTCCCAAAATGCTGGGAATTACAGGTGTGAGCTGCCGTACCTGACCTATTCTGGGATTTTAAAGTTTGTATCAACATTCTAGGCCTTTTCTCCCTCTTTGCCTTTCCTAAATTTAATTTTATTCCAGCACCCAGCTTGTGCCTGGCTCAATTGCACTTCTTCCCCTGTACATTAAGCTAGGCAAAACTACCCCTCTTGCTGGATTGCTTGAAGTCTTACTCCAGGACCGCCGATCTGTTATTCTTTCCAGATGAAAACCTTAACTAAGCTTTGAATTGAGTTCTTTACTGAGAACGATAGACTTGGAAATCATATATGGAATCTAGAAAATTGTGCCGTTTACAGAAGGAGTTACTCCTATCTTTTGACTGGTATTTTATTTGTCTTCATTTCATTTACTTTTGTCCTTTTAACTGTGCACATATTTCTTTAATTATAAAAGTGTTCATTTTACATGACAGGAAGTAATTGACAAATATACAGCTGTTGTAAAGATGATTGATTCTGGAGACAAGCTGAAACTTGACCAGACTCATTTAGAGACAGTAATTCCAGCACCAGGTAAATCTGTTTGCAGACTGTTTAATACATATGCCTTTAAAATGAGTGGTTCCATTCTTAAACTGATGGTTGTAGTTATTTTTCTGTTTCAGCAATATTAACCACTAGCGTAACTCATCTCTATTTGGCTTCAAGGGTGTCGTAGTTTACCGGCTCTCTGATGAAGCTGTTTTGTGGTGTGAATGTATCTTCTTTTCCTGGAATACTTTTTTTTTCTTCCGGAGGCAAAACATAGACGTATATGGATGACATTTGTTACATTACGCTTATGGTTATAGCTTGAGAATCTCTCATCTGAAATCCTTGGACCAGAAGCGTTTCCAATTTTGGATTTTGGAATATTTGCGTATATATAATTGGATATTTTGGGGATGGAATCCAAGTCTTAACACAAAATTGATTTATGTTTTATTTTATTTTTATTTATTTATTTAGAGACATAGTTTCACTCTGTCACCCAGGCTGGAGTGCAGTGGCATGATCTTGACTCACTGGAACCTCCACCTCCCAGGTTCAAGCAATTCTCCTGCCTTAGCCTCTGAGTATTTGGGACTACAGACATGCACCACCACATGCAGCTAATTTTTGTATTTTTAGTAAAGCCGGTGTTTTACCATGTTGGCCAGGCTGGTCTTGAACTCCTGACCACAAGTGATTCATCCGCCTCAGCCTTCCAAAGTGCTGGAATTACAGGTGTGAGCCAGCGTACTCAGCCTCATTTATGTTTTATATATACCTATACACATAGCCTGAAGGTAGTTTTATACAATATTTTAAATAATTTTGGTTGCATCTTGACAGTGACCTGTCACAGGAGATCAGCTGTGGAATTTTCCACTTGTGGCATGATATCAGCAAGGTTTCAGATTTTGGAGCTTTTCAAATTTTGGATTTTCAGATTAGGAATGTTAAACCTGTGATATATTTGTTTAGCTCTCTGTGATAGTCAAGTGAAAGTCTGTGTTATTTTGCTTTTTTCCCCTTGGTGTCTTTGCTTTTTGGAAACTTATCCATATCTGAATACAAACACTGCTTTGACCAGGTCATTTGCCTCTGATTCAAAATCTTCCTGGGGTTCTCATTGCCAATGCAGTGATAACATTGGTCTCTGGAACTTCCAATTATCATATTCTTTATTCTTTTTCCCCCTAAAGTAAAAATGCTTTTTACAGATTAGAAAAATTTGTGTTAGCTGTATTGTGGTGTAATTGATGTGCAATAAATCACACATATGTAGAGTATACAATCTGGTAAGTTTTCACATGTGCCTGCTTCCGTAAAACCATCACTACAATCAAGATGATGAATGTATTCCCTCATTTCCCTCTCTAATTCCTCCCTCCTGCCTTCTGCTCCTGGGTCCCCTGTCTTCCTAGCCATCTGCTGCCATGCTTTCTGTCACTATGGTTCAGTTCATATTTTTCTAGACTTTTCTATAAATTAAGTTTATATAAATGTGTCCTGTTTTCCGGTTTGGCTGCTTTCACTCAGCATAATTATTTTGGATTCACCCATGTGGTTGTGTGTATCTGTAGTTCATTCTTTTTTCTTGCTGTGTTTTTCTTGTCATTGTATGGATATGCAGTATTCCCTCCTTATCCTATACCTTCTAAGATCACCAGTGGATGCCTGAAACCATGGAGAGTACCAAACCCTATATGTACAATTTTTTTTCGTACATACATACCTATAATAATATGAATAGGGCATAGTAAAAGACTGAGAACAGTAATAATAAAATAGAGCAATTATAATAATATACTATAATAAAAGTTATGTGAATGTGGCCTCTTTCTCTCAAAATGTTTTACTGTACTGTACACACCTATTTTCGGACCACGTTGACTGAGAGTAACCAAAACCTGGGATGGGGGGACTACTGTACCAGTTTGTTTATCTGCTCATCTGTTGATAGACATTTGGCTTATTTACAGCTTTTGGATATTAAAAATAAAACTGCTGTGAACATACATGTGCAGATCTTTGTGTGGATATATGGTTTCTTTTCTCTTGGGTAACTACATAGAATGGTTCAGTCACACGGTAGGCATAAGTTTAAATTTTTATAAAACTGCCAAACCATCTTAGGAATTTTGCAAATAGACAAATTTGCTAAATTTTCTCTGATTACTTCTGGACTCTGAACATTTTCTCCAAGTACCTTATATTCCTTGCAGTCTGAAAGTAAAACATGTATATTCCTTTAACAAACAATTGGGAGGAAAATGAGAAGTCTTACAATGTTCAAGTAGTCAAAGTATTCATACACCACACTAAAATACTACTCACTTCTTAAATGATTGAGAACTTCTAAGAAAAAGGGATTTGTTTTTCATTATGTTTATTCACTGTGGTACATTTTGCTGTAACAAGTTAGAAGAAAAGTGGAGATATTTCTTTGCGTTAAGTTTTATATTCTTTTCCATTGTAGGAAAAAGAATTCTAGTTTTAAATGGAGGCTACAGAGGAAATGAAGGTACCCTAGAATCCATCAATGAGAAGACTTTTTCAGCTACTATAGTCATTGAAACTGTAAGTTTGTTTACAGAAAGACAAAAATTTCAAAATGCTTTAAAAATGTGCCGTAATTCTTTTTAACTGGATTGTTCTTTATTTTAGAATGTGAGTTTTTTGTTAGCCTTCTATACTATTTGGAAATCCATAAGCTTATTTTCTCCAGTGACTCTGCCATTGCTAAAGTATTTTATTTTCTGATTACAAAAGAAATGTGTACTCATGCATAAAACCTGAAAAGCAGAATTTAATATAAATAGTTATAAAAATAACCATAATTCCCCAGCCCAACAATAAACCCCACTAATATTTGGTCTGTTCCTTTCCAATCTTGGTATTTTGTGAAAGTGTGTGTAATAGGTACAGTTTTGTATCCTTTTTTCCCCTGATATCGAATATGAAACTCAATGCAGCATAGTGAAGTTGGTATGGGAAGTATAGTCACTGTCAGGAGAGAGGTAACCACAGAGGCCAACCACTTTTTAAAATGTCTTTCCTTTTTTCATAAAGGATATGAGGGTAGCAGAGATCAATACAGTAATTTAAAGAATGCTGACATATAAATAAAGTTGTTTATTGACTTAGGACTGATATTTCACTGACAGGTCTATGAGTGAGGCCCAAGATATCTTTAGAAAGAAAGATTCCTTTCAGAACTCTGAGCTACTGCAATGCGTCTCCTTTCTGCTAAACAAAAGAATTTTTCATCTCCAGTACAGTCAATTTTAGTATTTCTGGGGGAGCTTGGGAGTCATAGATACTTAGAGAGTTTAATGAAACTTTAGACTCTTCAAAACATTGCACATAATTGCCAAATTTTATTTATTCTCTTGGGGAGTTTATAGGCCCCCTAAACCCATGGACCTGTTACAAAATACGTGTCTAGGAAGGTTTTCTGGAAAAACCATTTAGGTCCTTATTTCAGAGAATTCTGATCCTCGCAATGCTAATCTAGAAACTGTTACTTGCTAAGTGTTATTCACTATGTAAACTAAGGGGGATAAAAGGAAAATAGGACTCTTAGTTGGCATTGAGGAATGTGTCAGTCTGACTAAATTAGCAGATTGAGTTTTAACAAAAAACTAAGATTTTTCTCTGACTCAATCAGTATAAGGCAATAGAAAATCCACTATTTCCTTGACAACTTGCTCATCCTTCCCTTATTAATTTATTTCTTTTTTTTTTTTTTTGCATGGACCAAACATGAAACTTGCCTTATTAATTTCATTGCACTATCACATGCAGATCCTGTTTCATGTTTTCATCTCAGGGAAACACGAAACAGCTGATCACTGTTCAGGCTGTGTTAAGTTCCACCTCGATACCTTTGGTTTGCACGTTGTATCATTCATTAAGAGCTAGTTTCTCACCTTCTGCACTGTAGACCCACTTTCATCTTCTGTGCTGAGGTAGAACCTAGGAGCAAATCCACATGAAAAGCCTTTCTGTTTGATTGCAAAGCAACAGGTACTTCTTTTAGAAGAGGGAATCTACCAGCCAGGCATGGTGGCTCACACCTGTAATCCCAGCACTTTGGGAGGCTGAGATGGACGAATTACCTGAGGTCAGGGGTTCAAGACCAGCCTGGCCAACATGGAGAAACCCTGTCTCTATGAAAAATACAAAAATTAGCTGGGCGTGTTGGTGCATGGCTGTAGTCCCAGCTTGGGAGACTGAGGCAGGATAATCACTTGAACCCAGGAGGTGGAGGTTGCAGTGAGTTGAGATTGCACCACTGCACTCCAGCCTGGGTGACATAGCAAGACTCTGTCTCAAGGAAAAAAAAAAAAAAAGAAGAAGGGAATCTACCTCCTAATTTCTTTCTTCTTTTTTTCAGCCTGCCCTCGTTAAAAATAAAAATTTAGAGAAAGCTCTGTATGTGCGTGTATCTGTCTCATGTTTCTGTGTTTTTTTCTGAGTCACTTGAACTTTGCAAGTGGTTGTTTTTATCATTTCTGGCATCTTAAGTTTCTATGTCATTGGTAATATTTGAAATTTATACATTTATTAAGCAAATTTTTAACATCTAATAAATTGCTTCTAAATAGCCTCAGCTTTTCAGCTATTTGTCCTATAAACCTAAGTGTCTGGCTCCCTTATTCTCCAGATTTATAGTTCTTATCAGAAAAATGTAATTGACCATAGAGCATTAAACATGATAATGAAAAATTCAACCTAGGTCATACTTTATCTGGGAACTTAATTCCCTTAAATATGATAATTATTTGTTGTTAAGAGAAGCAGTAAAAAAATGTTAAAATCTCAGTCCAGGGTTAGAGTCATCATCATTGTCATCATTATCATCATCATCATGTTATATTTTGCATGGGAGAGGATTAACTGTCAAATTTTATTTATTTACTTATTTATTTTTGAGACAGAGCCTCGCTCTGTTGCCCAGGCTAGAGTGCAATGGCGTGATCTCAGCTCACTGCAACCTCCACCTCCGAATTCAAGCAATTCTTCTGCTCCAGCCTCCTGAATAGCTAGGATTACAAGCACTTGCCACCATGCCCAGCCAATTTTTATATTTTTAGTAGAGACAGGGTTTCACCATGTTAGTCAGGCTGGTCTCGAACTCCTGACCTCAGGTGATCCACTTCCCTTGGCCTCCCAAAGTGCTGGGATTGCAGACATGAGCACTGTGCCCCGCCCAACTCTCAAATTTTAAACAAAAGATTAAATAATAATTAGAGTTGAAAATTATCAAGCTCTCACTTGTATTAAATTCCAGGTGTAGTCACTTTATATGAAATAACTCCTTTATATTTCCCAATAACCCAATCACAGAGGCATTACTATCATCCCCACTGGGAGATAATGGGATACAGAACTGAAGGACAGAGAGGTTAAATCAGTTGTTGAAAGTGAGATCTGAATTTGGGGAGTATAGGTCCACAGCCCATATTCTTAGTCTCTGTGTTCCCAGGTTATATCTACTTTTGTGATAGAAAATATCTTTCATTAATTAAGTTTTCTTCTTTCCCTTTTTGTTGGATATGAAATAAGAAAATAAATTTAGACTGTTGTTATAATCTAGACCAGTGTAACTGTCACAGCTAACCTCGACAGACATGTTTGAGTATCTGTAATGCTTACAAAAGAATATTTCCTATAAAAAAAAGGGAAACCCCAAATGGACAGTGGCACAAACATGGGAGAAGTTAACGTTTCACTCTCAAAAGCCCAAGTGGGTATTTTTGATCAGGGAACTCTTTTCTAAGGTACAGTTTTATATTCTTTTTCCCTGAGATCAAATCTAAAACTCAATTTGGCATAGTAAAATTAGTGGGGGAAGTATAGTCGTTGTCAAGAGGGAGGGAACCAGAGGTCAACCACTTTTTAAAATGTCTTCCCTTTTTTTCATAAAGGATTTAAGGTGGTAGAGATAATACAGTCAGTAGTGGTTTGTGAACTCAGAGACCTTCCAACTAGTGGCTTTACTGCCCCCAAGTGGCATCTCCAGATGCCATGTCTGTGTGCTTTGGGTAGGCAAAAGGAGCTTGGCAGAAGGTGTGTTGGGGATAGCGTGCCTAGGCCATCACTTCTGTTTGCTTCCATGGGCTGCAGCCCCATGCATGGCCACAGCTAACCACAAAGGAGCTAGGAAATGAGCTATTTATCCAGGAAGCAGAGGTGATACTGACCAGCTAGCAGGTCTCTGCCACAGTATCTATTGATAATGTATATCAGATGTCACGAAGAAAATATGGTAGTTCTTAATGAGAATGCCATAGATTATTCTTTTTTATTTTTCTGAGACCAAGTCTCACTCTGTCTCCCTGACTGGAGTGCCGTGCGCAGTCTCGGTTCACTGCAACCTCCACCTCCCAGGTTCAAGCAATTCTCCTGTCTCAGCCTCCTGGAGAATGCCATAGATTATTCTTAAAATTCATAGACGTATAGAAGTGTTAACTACCTTAATGGTATTTTAGGGATACGGAGGAGGCAAATTTGTATCCATAAGCGTGGTGTCATTTTTTTTGTCTTTTACGAATGTGTGTTTTTAACCTTCTCTTAAATTATTTTAATTTGTAGGGCCCTTTAAAAGGACGCAGAGTTGAAGGAATTCAATATGAAGACATTTCTAAGCTTGCCTGAGTTTGAAAGTTTGTTAACAATGCATTAAAATCTTAAAGCATCAAATTGGTGTTCACCAAGGCATTATGAGACTCTACTGTGTTAGGGTATTCTTTTGTATAAAAGAAACAGGTTTTTGAAAATATTACTGTACAGTTGTTCAGCTAAACTTTGAGAAAAATTTAATTATGTCTCACAAAGTATCAAAACTATGTAATTTTGTCCTTATTTTTGTTTCCTTTGTAATTTACTTCATGATTTTATATCTTCATTAAAGAATGTTGTAAAGTGTTTTATATATGACAATTTAGAATCATATAATTGGAGGAAATCCTTCATACACTCTAAATTTATATTTTCAGTAGTAGAGTGGTAAAGCTGAACTATAAGTGTAATTAAATTTTAAATGTCAAACTGTATATGTAAAAGCAGCTTTATTATGGCAATAATTCATATACCATACAGATCACTCATTTAAAACATACATGCAGTTCAGTGGTTTTTAGTATTTTTGCAGAGTTGTGCAACCATCCCCACTGTCTGATTTTAAAGCAGTTTCAAACCCCAAAACGAAACCCTGTCCTAGTCAATCCCTGTTTTTTTTCCTCTGCTCTAGCTCTAGGCAACCACTGATGTACTTTCCATCTCTGTGGATTTGCCCTCTCTGGACATTTCATATAAATGGAATCATGTAACGTGATCTTTTATGACTGGCTTCCTACACTTAGCGTAACGTTTTCTTTTTCTTTTTTTTTTGGGACGGAGTTGTGCTCTTGTTACCCAGGCTGGAGTGCAATGGCGCGATCTCGGCTCACCGCAACCTCCGCCTCCCAGGTTCAAGCATTTCTCCTGCCTCAGCCTCCCAAGCAGCTGGGACTACAGGCATGCGCCACCATGCCCAGCTAATTTTTGTATTTTTAGTAGAGACGGGGTTTCACCATGTTGACCAGGATGGTCTCGATCTCTTGACCTCATGATCCACCCGCCACAGCCTCCCAAAGTGCTGGGATTACAAGCGTGAGCCACCGCACCCGGCAGCGTAACGTTTTCAAGGCTTATCCACGTGGTAGTGTGTAGGTGTACTTCAGTGCTTTTGATGGCTTCGTAATATTCCACTGCATGGATGTACCGTGTTTTGTTTATCCATTCATCAGTTGACAAACATTTGGGTTGTTTCCACTTTTTGACTATTGTGAATAATGCTGCCGTGATCATCCCTTTACAGGATTTCATGTGGACAGAAGCTCAATTCTGCCAGACTCTTCCAGAGCGGCTGTGCCATTTTACAGCCCCACCAGCAATGTGGAACTAGACAGTTTTATGTGTTTTTAATATTTTTATTTTTAGAGACAGGGTCTCACTACATTGCCCAGGCTGGTCTCGAATCCTAAAAGCTCATTTGCAAAATGTTTATTTTCTTCAGCTGTGTTTACAGGCTTTATAAACGATACCTGGTTCGTTTTAATTATTCAAACCGAAGGACATCTGCAAAAGTGACGGGGAAAATGTATATTTATATATATATATAATTTCCCAAACTATAAACTTTTAAGGGCGTCTGAGAAAGCTGTAGAGCTGCGGCACGAAGTAATCTTTGTAATGCCCGTCGATGAAGCCTTTCCCACTGTTGTGCACGAACCAGCAGGGGACATCCGTTCCAAACACCACGTCCGTTCGGTAGTCTTTCTGTAAGCCCCTGCAAGGAAGCAATGCACGTGATTACGGGGAGACTGAGGCACAGCTGGCCAGGCACCTCTAGACACAAGACCCCCTCTTTTCCTTGCTGTTCTTCATGTTCCTTCTGACACCCACATCTGCCACCCCCCACCTATTGCTGCTCCCCAAGTCGTGTGAAACACCAAATCTAGGGCTTGGTGTTGGAAGGACAGAGAATCAGTGGAGTGTCCTTTGAGAACTCAAAGAACCTTAGAGTTGACCCATATGGACTTTTCCAGCAAGGGAAACTGTAGCCAATGAAAAGAAGGCAGGAACAAAACCAAAGACTCCACAGTGTTGGGGCTGACTTCACAGGTCACTTAATGAATGAGTTGGTGGCTAGGCGGGATGGCTCATGCCTGTAATCCCAGTGCTTTGGGAGGCCGAGGCAGGCGGATCACTTGAGGCCAGAAGTTCAAGACCAGCCTAGCCAACATGGTGAAACCTTCTCTCTACTAAAAATAATCATTAAAAAATGTTAGCTGGGTGTGGTGGCATACGCCTGTAGTCCAACTACTTGGGAGGCTGAGGCATGAGAATCACTTGAACAATTCTCTGAGGCTGAGGCGGAGGTTGCAGTGAGCCAAGATCATGCCACTGCACTCCAGCCTGGGCGACAGATCAAGACTCTCTTGAAAAAAAAATGCATTGGAGGCACCCCTTAACTGCACTTTCTGTGTGTTTAAGGGTGATACCTGCTGTTTCTGAGCGGATTCATGCCCTCCACTTGAAGGGCAAAGAAGCCAACAATTTGTAAAGGATCTGGCACGTTGCATGAATGAGCCTTGTAAGTGTATCACTGTCCCCAGCACACAGGACAGCTCAGTTTCAGTTGCAAACTGCAAGGAGCTTGTGGTAGATCAAATAGAGACCCATCATTTACTTTTTGTCACTATAGTAAATGCATTTATACATATATATATATAATTTTTTTTTTTTTTTTGAGATGTAGTCAAGCTGGAGTGCACTGGCGCAATCTCAGCTCACTGCAACCTCTGCCTCCCAGGTTCAAGCAATTCTTCTGTCTCAGTCTCCCGAGTAGCTGGGATTACAGGCATGTGCCTCCATGCACAGCTAATTTTTGTATTTTTGGTAGAGATGGGTTTTCACCATGTTGGCCAGGCTGGTCTCGAACTCCTGACCTTGAACTCCTACGCCTGGTCTATTTATATATTATGTATTTATTTATGAAACAGGTCTCACTCTGTCACCCAGGCTGGAGTGCAGTGGCCTGACCATAACTCACTTCAGCCTTGAACTCCTGAGCTCAACAGATCCTCTCACCTGAGCCTCCCAAGTAGCTGGGGCTACAGGCAGAATCTACTACACCTGGCTAATTATTTTTATTTATTTATTTTGTAGAGATGGCATCCTACCCAGTCTGGCCTTGAACTCCTAGCCTCAGGTGATCCTCCCATATTGGCCTCTCAAAGCATTGGGATTACAGGCATAAGCCACCATGCCTGGCAGTAAATGCTCTTTTGCCAGCTTCAGATAACTT